CATTAGCTCCTCTAGTAATACATTTACTGAGAAAAATGGTGACGTGTTCAATACTTATTTTACCCGCTGTATTTATGAAAAAATAATTCCTCAATATCTAAAACAACAAATGTTTTTGTAGATATCTCATAATTAATTCAAAATTTTGTCAGTAATTTACCTGCACATCAGAACTGAGTCATTTTGTTTTAGCAAAGAACATGTTTTTGTAAAAAATAAATTACATTTGCATGAATAAATATAATACAATACTTGATTTTGCTGAACATTGCTTCTGCGTCAATGTAACAGTGTTTTAGTGTGTTTCTAAACTCATGAATAACCTTTTATGAATTATTTATAATTTATTTTAAAAGGTGTCTTTAACAAATAAACAAAATAAAACCTGTTGAAATGTGTTTAAGCTGAGTATTTGTCCTCCTCAGGATCCCTGACAGACGGACGGAAGTTTGACTCGTCCCGGGACAGGGACAAGCCTTTCCGTTTCAAGATCGGCAAACAGGAAGTGATCCGAGGTTGGGAGGAGGGTGTGGTGCAGGTAGGGGWCAAAAAGTCAAAGAAAACATCTTTATTTTTAAGAAACTTGATTTAYATTTTGTTACATAACTGGCAGACATTCCTTTGAACTTGGCTCAGCCAGAGTGAAACAGGAAGTGACATCAAAGGGGAACCCGTTAAGAAAAGGAACTTCCTGGTTTTTGCTTATTGTAACAATATTATTTGATCTCTGTCTCTTCTTCTCTGATAGACTCAAAATTATCTATAGAAACTTTAGATTYGTCTCTACAGTCTGTGTTGTTATTTGTAGCAATGCTCTATTTTCATGCAGGCATTCCCCTTTGACATCACTTCCTGTTTGTTCACGTCTAAATATCTCAACAATGGTTCATCTCAGCAGCGCAAACTTTTTTTTAAAATATTTTATCAATGTTATCTTTCCAAAAAGGCATTCATATTTATTAGAAAAACTTGCTGTCACAGGGACTTTAAAGGCACTCATCTGAATATAAAATCTGGTATAAGAGGCTTATTCTTAATTTCAAATGTTGCCGTTTGGCAGAGTTTCCTCGAGGATGTTCCCAGATGTAGTGATACACACGTGGGTCCACACTCGACGTAAACACAGCTGAATCTGTTGAAAACCAGGTGGAAGCTTGAGTCGTGTGTTTGACCTACATCAGGCTGGATGTAGCCTGTGTAAGAAACAAATATGGCTGCTAATTTTGACCTGTTTTCAGTCACTTTGGCTGTTTCTGTAGGTAAACTATTTTTAAAACCCCAATAAGGAATGTCTATTAGGATTTTGAGCTATTGAGAAATAAAGCAATAACACTGGATTCTCTGTGGGTTTGATTTAGTAATAGTTCAGCGTCAGACGTGTTCTCTAAGCTCAGCTGCTGACAGCTGGTTATGATCCAGCAGCTCTCTGACCTCATTACCTCCTGTTTCTGTCTTCGTCCTCCAGATGAGTGTTGGTCAGAGGGCCCTGCTGACCTGCTCGCCTGACTTCGCTTACGGAACCAAAGGCCACCCGGGCATCATCCCTCCCAACGCCACCCTGGTGTTCGACGTGGAGCTGCTCGGTTTGGAGTGAAGCAAAACTGCAGCCTGTTTGTTGTGTGTTGTGTAAGTACTTTACCACAAATCCTGCTTGGGTTGTTACGCGTAGTGAGGTTCGTTTGAGTGATGCACCCTTCTACTGATCAGCCATAACGTTATAACCACAGCATAAAAAAATCAGGGTGCATTCACACCAAAAATGTGAGTTTTGTTTTGCCTTCAAATCACAGTAAGCTAAAAGAGGTCCTAATGATAAGTGTGGTCATAATGTTATACTGATTATTTTGTAACTTTCAAAGGAAATTTAGAAACAAGAAAACGAAAATAAAAAATAAAAAAACGAACATTCTGTGTAAGTCTTGAGGGGTCGGTGTCCTCCTTTTCTATTTTTTTTTGTGGAGTCCCACAAGGCTCAATCTTGGGCCCACTTTTGTTTTCTCTCTATCTGCTCCCACTTAGTTCTGCACTCAGAAAGCACGGCATTTCATTTCATTAGAAATGGCAGATAGCTAAACTAAAACTGATCATTTGCTGCTAAGGGTCCCTAAAACCAGACTGAGACTCTGGGGGGGATCTTTTGCTGCAGCAGCTCCTAGACTTTGGAACGAGCTCCACCTCAGGCCTCTTCACTGCTGACTTTAAAACACATCCTAAAACACACTTATTCTTTTTGGTTTTTGACACTGTTTGAGGTTGTGTCATTTATTTTTACCTGATTTTAGTTTTTGTAGATATTTAAATTTTTTATTGTATATTTAAATTAGATTTTAGGCCTTTTAATGTTTTTATTTCTTGGTTTTATCTCACCTGTGTGAATCTGCTTTGCATGCGTTTTGTTTAAAAGTTGATTGTGTAAAAGCACTTAGATCCACTGCGGTGCATGAAGTGCTTTACAAATAAAGTCGGGTTGGAAAATAATCATATTTCTCACCATCTTTCCAGTTGGCTTCAGGCGACCCGAGGAGAGGCTTGGACAGTCTGCGCCATTTCACCACGTCTTTCAGTTCGACAGTTTGTGTTGTTTTTAACTGTGTGGCGGCAGATTTACTGACACTTTTCAATCATTTTCCTTCTTTTTGAAAGTATGGGCCATAACCTCAAACTTCCATGTTCTTAACCTTGTGTAAGATGGTTTGTGTCTTTGTGAGCATGTGTGTTTTCATGTGTTGGCTGTGCAGCGACACGCCAATAAGCCACTAGCAGCGAGCTTCATCAACATTATTTTAACAGAACTGCACAGAAAGCACACATTTGTATAATATTTTCCTGCTCAGGATCAAATAAAACCTTCTGATGCACTAATTAAAATATCGTGGTGCAAAATTTAGTATTGATATGATCAATATAACTGATCTGATAATTTTAAATCCTTGGATGCATCAGAATGAGAGGTTTATAGTAACTAAGTACCTTTACTTTGTTCCAGTACTTAAGTAATTTTTTTGAGGATTTGTAATTTGACCAAGTATTTTTTTAAATCATGTCTTTTACTTTTATTTTGTTACTTTTAAAACCTAAAAATGATACTTTTACTATATTTAAATTTTAACACCTAATTACTCATCATGTTGTTTATTTGCTAAAATTAATTGTTGTATTTTCTCAACTAAGTCATGTCAACTATTTCCACTAAACCTAGTAGAGAAAATTTGAGGTGATATACATATTTTATTTTAAAGAAATTGACCAATTTACTCAACCTGGTTTTGTGGAGACAGTAAATTTTACAGTTTATTTTTTAGAGAGCGTGGAAAAGTACTTTTACTTCTACTTTCCCAGTTTTTGTGAACAGTTTTATGACTTTTACTTAAGTAGTTTTCTCATCAGTTACATTTATTTTTACCAAAGTAATTTTCTGTCAAGATATTTTTACTTTTACTCACCGGTAGTTAATTTTTTAAGTACTTTATAGACCTCTGATCAGAAAACATTTTCTTGACCTATAAATGTTCCTTTTTTTTAAACCATTTTTTTGCTTTGGTTTAATAATTAGTTAAAATCCAGATCATAATTTGGGCATATTTTATAAGTAAATAAGAAAATCTTTATTATAACAGTAAAAGTTGACATTCAGAAACAGATCAATAACAAAACAATTCTTTTCCTCATACACTGTCAAGTTTGGAAACTTTTTTTAAAATACATAAAGTGTAAATTATCTTTTTTTTCTCCAGGCAGAGTGTTCAGAACCTGAAACCTAAGTATCAGTCAGTATCAATACTCTAAATCAGTACACAGCGATCGATCAGCCCACCTCTGCTCGCCACTTAAAAATGAACATTTCTGCAGAAACTTGTGCTTTTATTTTCTTACCTTAAACAGTGTGTGGATTAGCCAGTTGTAGATAGTTCAGACATGGCGGCAGCCCTGCCCTGTCCTGTCTGCACGCTGTACATCAGGTAGAAAACTTCACGTTGCAGCTTGAAAAGCGCTGAACTCAGTTTACGTCGTCGCTGCCTTTTCACGTCTTTAAACCCCATTTAAAGCCATACGCAGGTGGAACCGTGCAGAGGCAGGGTCCGTGTTGATGCACGCCGATTTGCTCTGATCGTTTTTTTAAAAATCATCTGAAATGCTTGAAATTTCCAAACAAGGATAAAGGAATTTTCCGAGCCTTACTTTAGATTATCAGGTGGAATCTTGTATTTTTATTGTTTTGGACGTATCTTTGAGAATCAGTGAAGCTAACCGTGCTCCCTCTTTGAGGTGCTGTTTGTGATGTGCTGAGTTGAGGAAAAACAAGCGGACACATTAGCATCTTTGTGGTTTTTTATATCTGAAAGAATGCGTTTTAAATGGAGTTTAAATGAAGGAACGTGCTGTGTGATTTGGACTGTAGCTGTGAGTGTTACATGCTGTCAGAACTGCAGCTGCTGGAGCAGCACAACGCCTCCGTTCTGTTTGGTTCTGTGCTGAAATGTTACAGGAAGCAGGCTAAATCAATGGTGATGTATTTAAAATAAAAGAAATGCTTTTCACCTGCTTGCCTGTGGACTCATTTCTTCTAAACACAAATTATGATTCACTGACTGTAGGTGGTTTAGTTTGGCATTGTTTGTAAGAATGCTGACTCAGCATTCATTCTATTTTTAGCTATTCTTGTATTGAAACTATCAGCCGATTCAAATTTCTGTAACTATTAAACTTTTAAAACACATTTAACTTTATTTACAAATGTTTTCACCATTTAAATACATTTACATATCTTTAAATTCTTAAGTTTTAAATCTGATTTAGCATATTTACTCTATTTTGTGTGACTTTTAGCCAGCATGTTGATTCATTTAATTTTTAGATTCTAGCTAATGTATTATCTAATTTTAGCCTACCTTATTTTTTGTTATCGTTGTACTATTTATCATTCTGTTAGCAGTTTGTTTTTTTTAGCTACCATTTTGATACTTTTGAGTTTAGTTAGCATTGTGCTATTAGGTTAGCAAACTGAAGATACTATGGACTATCGGAGCTGCGGCCGCAAGGTTGTCGGTGCCTGTCGYGGCGGCAACCCTCGAACCCGTTGGTGGACACCTTCGGTGAGGGATGCTGTCAAGCTGAAGAAGGAGTCCTATCGGGCCTTTCTGGCCTACGGGAC